TTGTCAAATTTTACTGTTAAAAGTTAGCATTTTTCGCAATATTTGAAGAAAAGAATGAGGCCAGGCCAGATTAGGAGTAGCCAAAATAACCAAAGAATCATTCGAGGTATACATTATAAAGTTGGAATCCCACCAAATGGCTTTTTCAATCAGAACTTTAAGTTTTTTCTTCAAATTTCATTATTTTCTAGAACTTTAAAACACTGAATGGGTATTGAAGACTAAATCAATTCTTACGTATTTTCTTTTGGATTATTTGGATTTTCAATTGTAATAAGAGCTCTGCTTTCACAATGGAACTTAGCTCACGGGTTTTGTTGTTTTGGTTCGTTTCAGGGACAGTTTTTTTTTTTTTTAATGCCTTAATTCTGTTCTAAATTGCAAAGAGAAGATTCTGCACACCTCTGTCCTCACAGAAATAGTGACTAAAGTCAGATGTTTACACACATTTGAAACAGGGGTATTTTAACAGGAAGTGATCCATGTAAAAGAACAGTTCAACATGAAGCAAAAAATTCTCTCAGGGTTGTCTGCCAATCTAGTATCTCTGCAATAGAAGAAGTGACATAATGTTGAGCTTGTCTTTATTTGGGGATATCACTGTAATCTAAATTTCAGCCTAAGCTTTGAACAGTTTCTCCATGACAATCTGACCCCACAAATGAATCCTACTGTCACAACTGATACATTGTCGCTTGATCTTGACTAGGGCTAATCAGCACGCTGCTCACTTTTCCCACCGTGCCATGGAACCTGCTGCTGACATCCTTCAGGGCCTGTTCTGCAGATGCTTCTCAAACACAGCATCCCACTACTATGACAACCAAAGGACCCTTTAGTGCTTTTCTCTATGCTGGACTCAAAATGGCCACAAAGACTGGTTTTGACTTAGTGATGTTTTTTTCTGATCCAGATAACTGGTGATACGTATTGAATTGGTGAAGAATCAGAGTCTGGAATGCATGCTGGTTTTATTTATGAAGGAAAATGGTCTGCTTAGTTGAGACCTTAATTAAACACACAAGCACTCTGACCAGTTTCTGGACACTGGTACACAACTCTTAGGATGAAGAAACTGATTACCAGCCCCATGCCGAGCACTAGCAAACAGTATCCCACCTAAGCCATAATTAGGCCTTGCTGCTCTCTTCATAAAATATTAAGGCGAAGCTTTATGGCAGATAGAGGAGCTGGGCTCAGGCTATTCAGGAAGTAATCTATGTCCAAAGAACCCACTGGCCCTCAAGACTCACTTGAGTCCAGACAAGGGCTGCTGTGGTCACTGTAGGTCAGCCTTCAGAACTGACTCTGTCTAACCAGCTGCCCAAGTCATGAAAGAACTTGTTTAACTAAGTAAATGTATCCAGGACAGAAAAGCAGAAAGAAAACATGTTTGGGTTTATTCCAGGGGAAGTGTGCTTTCTTAGTGTGCACCAAGCCCTGGGTTGCCACCCGGACAGGACCCAAAACCAAATATCCCAAACAAACAACAAGACTTCTTTCCAAGTAAGAACACACCATGATGGTAAATGGAATATGTCAAAGGTTTGCCAGTAAAGGCTGGGAAATAACATAATTACAATGAGTGTTCTACCAATAAGAGGCGCACACACACACACACACACACACACACACACACAGATAGATGATAGATAGATTATATATATATGTATATATATATATATATATAGAGAGAGAGAGAGAGAGAGAGAGAGAGAGAGTTATGATTTAGATTTGAAGTTTTCAGGTTTTTTCATTGACCTTGAAAAAAAAAAGTAGCTCAAGGTTTTTAACTAAGAATGTGCAGAGACTAAACCTTCAAATGCACTATTAGTGTTGAGGTTATGGTTAGGATGATTAGGGTTATGGCTTGAGTCAAGACTAGTGTTGAGTTCAGGCTGCTCGACTGGCCGCAGTCTAGGGAAGTTATGAGAATACTACTTGTGTGGATGGTGTTGCATGGACAGTGTCAGCCTGAACTTTGAGAAGACAAGGGGAGTTCATCTAATGCTGTGTTGATCAGGGAAGAGACTAGCAGACGCCCAGGTCTAACGGAGTCTCAGGTACAGAGAGGTCAGACCAGAAGGACCACGTCTCACTCAGGAAGCATCCACAGGGCTTTCAAGACAAGTCTCAACTGTCCCCACCCATTTCTGTGCTTGTCCTACTTCCTTTTTGTGTCATGGTTTGGAGTCACCAAACGGCAGTCAGCATAAAGGGACAAGGAAGGAAAAGCGGGCTTGGCTCTCAGCTTCTCTTGTCACAGTGTCCTGACTTAGGGTTGGGAGCAATTCTGTGTTTGTCTCCACAGTCCCTGCAGAGCAGGCACACTGTGTAATACAGCATGTCCGGGAAAGCATCAGCCCTGCGGGGTGGGGGGTGGGGGTCTGAGCTACACTTATTTCTGTACACTAACAAACAAAGCTATTAGCAACAGGATCTGAGGTAGCCGGTGACCTTGCACAGCTAACAGGCACGTCATGCCTGTCCTTCAGGGGACCTCACTTAAGTCACCGCTGTGGCTTCCTCAAGCTTGGACATATTTGGTCTAGGGAATGCAAGGAATTTGCTAGCTGAGCAAGTTCATCCATTCTGCTTTGTAACAGGCTCCTCTCCATTACTGCTTCTAAAAAAAGAAAAGAAAATCTCCCAGCAGGCTTTGTTTCAGAAGTAACACCGTGGTCAATGGGACAGTTTTAGTCTGAAAGGATTTTCTCAAAAGAAGAAGCACCCTCACCTCAGGACATAGAATCTGGTTCTGATTTTTGGAAGAGATCTATTTCACTCCCTACCGAAACCTGCAGCAAAGGCCTAGAAGGACATCTGTCTACCTGTCCTACAGACAAACAGCTAATGGGGGATACAGAGTTATAGGCTGGGCATTCATTCTATACACGTTATTCCCGGTTTATTGATGTTTAAACTGAGGGTCACAGAAACTAAACACCACGGCCATGTTGAAGCTAGGGGTGGCAGACCAGGACTTGACAGGCAGCTCTAAGGCTGTGTAGTTTTGGAGTTGTTTCTCTCCTCTGGGGAAACTATTTAACTATCACTAGCTACATAGTATATTCAATTTGATAAAATGTGATTAGGCGTTAAGTAATGGAATTTGAGAAAAATGCATAAATCAAGACAAGGCTAATGACTTAATTAAAAATCAGATTAATATAGCTAATTTTTTTGATTTGTAAATAACTCTCAACACTGTATCTTAATCATTCTTCAGAAAGCAAAAATTGGTTAGTGATGGCATATAGAAACCATGTTTTTTCTCATGTTTAATTTGCTCACTTATCTTTAGGAGGCAAAATAATTAGCTGTCTTAAGGGAATGAGCCCCAAACTACATACCAAATTAGTCTGGACGCCTAAGTGGAAAAAGAATATAGAACCACGGCACCATCTAGCGGTAGAATGAAGCCTTGCAACTAAACAGACGATGCAGTTCCATTCTATAAACGTGGACAAAAGTGGGTCTGGTTGCAACAAATAATGAAAACTTGCAGACAAGTGGTCAGCATTAGGAGATATAAATGCTCCTTAAATGTTTCTGGAGGCAGACCCAATTTCCCTATGAAAGATTGACCATGGGTCCTGTTGATTTCCTTCGTTGTCTCTATAACCACAGGTACAATTTCATGAGGTAACAAGGTCAGGCATGAAAACACCCAGGACGCGAGTTCCCATTCAGTAAGTTGAGCAGGACTTGTCCTCCACAAGGGTTGGTATAGGGTTCAAGTGTCTTCCTTCTGGATCCTTTGTCTTTGGTCTTGTCCTAGGTCGGTGCCCTAAGGATGAAGTTTATTGCCTTCTCTCAATGCTCAATGGATATAAAATATATAAAAACAGTTACCTGTTTCAAAAACATTTCAAAACATTAGAGTCCAAGAAAATAAAGTAATAAACTCTTGGTGCATGTGTGCAAGATTTGCATTTCATCTGAGATTTCTATTTGGTTTGGTTCATGGGCAATGTGGAGAGGTATTTAGTAATTTTGTAATTCTTATGGTGGAATAAGAATGCTTTCTGGTACCAAAAAAGAAACTCACTTCAATTTGGTAAATATAAGAATTAAATAAACACCAGTATAAATGAAAAATGTGTTTACTTCCTTAACATTATACATAAAGCTAGTTTTTGTCCCAATAGGGTCAGTGACATTCATAGGAAGTGACTGTCCACTCCCTTCTTAAGATGGGTGAGCCTGGCACCTCCCTCAGAAATCCCTTAAAAAAAAAAACCCATATTCTGCCTCAAATGAGACAGTCCAAATCCTGAGACTCCACAATGCCAAGGGTGTGCTACGGTTCTCCAAAATTCTCCATTTTTATGTTGAACTGTTGAACTTTCTCCACCATGTAGGTTTTGGAGACTGAACTCAGGTCATTAGATTTGGTAGTGAGCATCATTACTCAGTGAGCCATCTCTCCAGGGCTACCTTCATTTTGGAGACAGTCTTTCCTGGACCATGAGCTTATCAGTCAGGACTGGCTAAGGCCAGGAATCTTCCTGTCTCCTATTCTCTAGTGCTTGCGTTATAGGAACACGCCATAGATTTTGGCTTTTCACATGTGTGCTGGAATATGAACAAGGCCAGCAGTACTGATTGAGCCATCACCCCAGCCCCATGGCAGAATTTTTAAAACAGTGATTCTTAGAAATAAATGCTTATGTGGCCTAGGATTAGTTTAGCACCAACTGACTACTGGCAAATATAAGCCAGGCCAAATTTGTCTTTCAACTTGTTGCTTACCTTTTCAATACTTTCATAGTTCACAGGTGACACTGGCCCAGAGAAAACAGCAAACGATCAGGAGAGGTCATGTTATTGTGTTTTCTATGGCTTTTGTGGTACCAGAGATTGAACCCAGAATCTTACAAATGCTAGACAAGCATTGTAGCTCTGAGCCATATCACTGGCCTGTGAGAATACACTGAGTCCACTGTGAGTGAGTTGAGAAGATACAGACTTTAGACAGTCAAGAGTCCAGCACCGTGTAAAGCTTTTGAAGACAGGTTTATTTATATATAAGTGCATGAAATTGAATACAGAAACTTTATTAAAATACTGTATATTACAAATTTTAATCCAATAAATTCTGTGTAATGACACAATAAATTCTGTGTACGACATTGAAGTGCTGGGTTCAGTTTAACAGATGTTCTGTGTGTTGTCCTCAGTTCACCCTGTATACTACAGAGGAGAGCCACGTGCGGCTCTCCGAAGTTGTCCTGGGACCAGACGCGGGATGGTGTGAGTTGTGCATCTTTTACAGCAGTGGATTGACTGCGGTCTCATCTTCGCAGGCCAACTTTCAAGGATCAAGATAACTTGCATATGTTTATTGCTGCCCTTTGAAGAAAATGTGTGGTGAAAAATAATTTAAAATAAGGACCAGCATCTCTGAGGCTAACCCGATGCTTACTGCAATTAAAATACTTAAAATTCACTGCAAAATTTGTGTTCTCCAGGAAGTTATGCTATATATACAATGAAATTTGTACATGACTTGGGAAATAAAAAAATTGCTCATATAAAATTAAAAATCAATAGTATACAATATTTACAGCCGGTTAGGTATTACATATAAACATATTTTAAATAATCCTTCAAAATGAAACTGTTTTATGTAAACATGCAGTACACATATTCATACAGTGTAGTTTATAGTCTTAACAGAAGGGGAAGTTGTGTTCACATAATGCAGGTACTTCATCAAACACACTCTTGCTTGAGTATCACCCTCCAATGTCTATTCTTCCTGTCTTTAAGCTTCACAGTACATTTAGTATTTTTATTGTAAAAATAAATCCCTGATGGCAAACGTATTTCTAAAGGTTACATAAAGTCTGTCCTTGTACTACAATATTAAACTAACACTGTTCACACAGGAATCTCTAGTGTACCATAAAACCCAGCTTTAAAATCCCACATTTAATTTGCTTGACCACATATTTCCCCGTTTCACACTTGCTTGGAAAATGAAGAAAGAACCCACAGGAAAGGGAAACGCTGGGGAATGAAGGGTAGTGAAAGCAATTGTCTCCTGTCGTAGCTGGTGGCTGACTGACTCCTCGGGAACCCTAGGAAGGGAGCAGTTGGACTGCCTCAGTGGCCCTTCCTAAGCTCCAGAGTCTCTCTGCAGTGGAGTGTACAAACAAAGCCAGCTCACTGGTACCAACCCCAGCCCCACTGAGGACACTTTGCAAAGGTTCTTAACTTCCAAGACACCGAGTCATCATTTAGCTTTTAAAAATTGTACTGTGGTTCAGCTAAATGATTCATCAGTGGGCTGAGAGCTACTACAATTTTAAAGTGAGTTTCTTAGTATTTTCTGACGGATCAATTATACTTGCTACTTAAACAAAGCCACATTAGCATCTAACTTCAAAGCTGCTCCCTCATCCTGGGACATCTGAAGGCTGAGGCTAACATGAGGGTAGAAGCACAGGTGAATGCTCTGCCAGATTATATGGCTAAAATGAGCAACAGGGGAACTTCTTATTTATCCATCTAAACAGGTGGACCTCATGACTAAAGGTGCGTACTGGGGAGAGAGTCAGACTGTTTCTCGATTTCTCCCTGAAATCGCATCCACTATCATAAACACTGAAAAAAATCTATGCAAACAAAAGCCTCCAGTTGTCTTTCCAGGAAGAAAGCTTTAAAACTGTTCCATCCCAACCACATTCAGTGATGGAATGTAAACATTTTGATTTAAAATGAAGGAGCCAAGCAGTGGCACACACCCCTAATCCCAGTACCTGAGAGGTTGAGACAGGAGGATCACAAGTTCAAAACTAGCCTGGGCTATACAGCAAGTGAGCCCCTATCTCAAATACATAAAACTTAAAATAAAAGCAAACAAAATGTTGTAATATCATTAGTAGTCCCAAGCTACCATTCATTTAGACAGGGCTCTAAAAAAGTTAATATTTAAAAAGTAATTACCAATACACATCCGGGAGGGAAAGTACTCTGGTCCTGGGTCTTAGATGACCATGCATCAGAACTCCTCTTTCTAGGTATTTAGGCCATACTGTTTCCCATTTGACATCAGAGACCTGGGAACTCCCCAAAAGGGGAGAGTGAGATTACATACACTAGCTGTGGGTACAGGATAGCATCTAAAGGAAAACAGGAGCATCACATCGTCCTTCCCTCCGTCACCTCACCCCCACCCCACCCCACCTGATGCCGTCAGCTACTTCCTTTTCCATGGGCACCACGGCATAACTACAGGCACAGAACGCTCACTCTAGACCAGCACTCCAGCTTCTGTCAAGGAACTGTGACACTGAAGAAATAATATCTGACATCTGCTTCAGCAAGGCGAGAGATTGTTACAGAAACTGCTAGATAAATCAGTTCAAAAAACCAAGAAAACTACTAGATAAGTTAAACACACAGGTAAAGAATGTGAGAGCCAATCTCCTAAATTAAGAAATTATTCTGGATCACAGCTCAGCTTGCTCAGAAAGGTGAATGCTGCCCTACCACCACAAAGAGGTAGCCAGTGCACTTCCTGTTTACTGAAAACATTTCATATATTAAGCATTAATTCCTCCCAAACAAATCCTAGCTATGTTCTGTCGTAGGCAAATTCAGAAACCAAGATATCACACTGGATTACCTAGAGGGAACAAGGATCTCCAAGGGAGAAGGGCAAATCTACCACACACAAAATGCACCATGATGTTAAGTGCATGTGTTTGGTAGAGCCCACACTCCTTAGAGTGAAATATTAGCAAACTTGTATCTCACTGGGGTTTAAATTCTTAGCAGGATGGAGGAACTATGCTTGTAGAATGCAGGGAACTTTATCACGCGTGCTTTTGTGCACTGACCTCTTTAACAATTCCTCCTCTTTGAACTTTCCTCTGTTACAAATGGCATTATTCACATACATTTAAAAAACATTATATTTTAAAATCAAATAATGTCCTTTATATTCTGAACAGTTTCAAAAGGATGAGAATTCTGGGCAACCAGGAGACTACTAGATGATGTCATGTTGAACCACTGAGAATATAACCCAAACCCTTGATTTTAAAAAGAAACAGCACTTGACTCAGTTCCACTCAACTTGTGTTACCATACTTCTCTGCAATCTAAACCCGTGAGAAATTCCCCAGTAATTTCCCTGTATTCTTCATGTCTTACACACAAAATCAAAAGGGGTGCTTCCAAATATTGTTTGAGACAGTCTTCAAAAAGGTTTTCAAATGGCAACAGCACTGTCTGCCAACAGTTCAGAACGTGTTCTCAGCATCTTGTCACTCCCTCCATTATAAAATGGTCATAAGTTTAAGATAATGGTATTTTTTTTTTAGGTTAAATAGAAATAGGTAATAAACAAACCAACAGAGACAGGATATAGAAGTCCCAGATGCTCAGGATGACAGGTGACAGGTGACTAGGAGAGGTGGGGAGCTACAACAAGGGCAATCCTTTGGATAACATCAAGAGTCAATGAAGGTCTGAAGTTAATCCAAAGAAGTAGGAGATGGCAGCGGAGGAAATGCTGGCCACCTCTACTCTTCCTGTAGTAACAGCGGTGACAACCCCGGAGTCTCCTCCTGTCTGCCCTGTACCACCAACTCCCCGAAGTACCCTTAGGAGAGTTACCTGCTGACTTTAAGAAGTAAAGAGGAGGTGCCAAAAGCAAGGCTAGAGGAAAGATTTGTTTTCTTTCTTAAAATATACAGAGAGACACGAAATGGATGAAGAAAGGTAAATTTTACAAAACGCCGTCTCTAATGGGTATTGCAAAAATGACCTGTCCATTCTATTGACTGTCTTCTGAGCACTTAATGTCACATATGCATTCTTTTACCCAGGAGAAATTCATCAAAGTCCAGAGTGAAACCTGAAACTAAGAGTGGTTAAACAATGCTCAGATCAGAGGGAACAAGGCGACAGAGCCTAGACACAAGACTGGAGCATTGGCTGAGAATCTAGTCCTTTCTCCCCTAGCTCTGAGCAGCATCTAAGACACTGTAATGCCCAATTCAGAGGATGAGATGGGAAAGGAAAAACTAGGTCACAAGAGGAAGTGAAGGATGAGTCTCAGGAAGCAACAAGGTACTAGCTGCCCAAGCTGTTTAGGGCTTGAAACTGTTTAGCCAGTTCCTGGTGGACTCGAGTGAGGGAATCCTATTTCAGCCATCTTTGTACATAGGAGATGGGAACTCACCAAACTGAGCTAGGTAGTGAGTGCCAGTCTGGGTACCTTAAAGAGGCCACCCTACTTTCCACTGCAAATGAAAGGTCCTGGAAGCACTGTTTCCTATAGCATTTTTTTTTTTTTAAATCTTAAATCATCCAGTGAACCTTCTTTCCTTTCATAAATAAAACCCCCCAAGGGCTTGGAAAAGAAGCAGTGGAATTCTGCATTGCAAATACTAAGAAAGTATCCTGGATAAGACTTTAACACTGGATGATACATATGAGAATTCAAATTAACAATGACACTTTAAATTGAAATGAATGCAGGCATCAGGTCCCCTGAGAAGCCAATGGAACTGTGCCAGGGCCTATGACCTGCACCTCTTTCTTGAGAAGTTAACAGGCTTCACTTGTAACTTACATGAGGCCCTGGTGCTAAAGACTTTTCCTTTGTCATGAAGGAAATTTACTGCTAGACCACGGCCGAGTTTTCAGAACATGAAACTTGACTATGTTGGTGGAAGCTTTTGTCATGTCCCAAACAAGGGTCTCCAGCAAAAATCCTAAACACCCTCCAGTCTAAAAGATCCCTTAACTGAACAAATATAGCAACTTCTCCAATAGGAAAATGTTCATCAAACAAAGCTTTCCAATTGGACCATATTCATATATAGCTATCTATATATGTATATAATGATATACTTGTGTGTGTGTATATATATATATATCATTAAACATTTGTCTCTATAAGAAATGGCTATCTTCTTGAAAACTTCACCATATAAACAGCTATTTAGACAGTTTCATAAATCCATACTATTCAACTGCATTTCAAACTACCAAGAGTGACAGTTACACAAAATCCCAATGGAAGTAACTGAAGAAATTAAAAATGCCCCTCAAAATAAAAGTACACACACATACACACACAAACACAATTCTTAATGCAAATCAGCTTGACAATGAGATGACTTCAGGACAGTCTATAAAATGATAACCCTCTCAGACTTTCATCCTAGAGCAGAAACAGGAGCTCAAACCTCTTTGGTCCATTCATTCACATATTCAATGCGTCAAGTTAATTTCTAGTTAATTTTAGGTTATAAACACTGGGTTCCATATTACCTCCTATGATAACTTTCTTAGATCATAAAATAACCAGGTTAAAATAAATATTTGTTCTGTACATGAGAAGCACTGTCCGTGTTAGCAATTTTCCTGGTGGTACACGAAGCTCTGAATTCCGGACAAGCCGCTTGAGGGAAGAGCAGAAATCAGCCAACAGGAAAGGAGAACCAGGTCTATCTGGAAAAGATGCCTAGGTTTCATTTCAGAAAGCATGAAGAATATAAAGAACACACGGGAGAAACAGCAGGCTTGTACACAGAATCCATCTCTAGACTTGTTTTCCCACACCTCTCAGGGTGAAGACTTACTGATGGTTGATTTGGGGGGGGGGAGGTTGTTGAATTTCCAAGCCACATTATAAACTGCTTTATGTACTGGCAAAAGCAGCCCCTCCAAAAGCTGTCAATATATTCTTTTGCTAGAGAAAAGGGGTATGGATAATAAAAGTCTTAAAACCAAATGAAGTTAAAGAGCTTAGGGGCTCCATTCTTTTTTAGCTTACTTATAAATTCATAATCTCTACAATGGATATTCTCTTAAGTTAGCACATTTGTAATCACAACTAGTTAACCATCTCCCCACAATACTCACTTCAACCAGGGTCTGTACTTTCCCGACTTCTTGTATTCATAACAAACAACTGTGTATTTTTCTAAACCTCCTAAAAGGTTTTACAGACAAATTCTGTATTTTAGAATTTTAATGAGTGTGATCCGAGACTCTATTTGACTCAGGTAATAACTTAGAAACAAAAACTCAAATGACACCCCTGAAATGACCCCTCAGACAAAGGCTCTGTGCTGTCTTGATACACTCTGACTAACTGCCAACTTGTGATACACTATGTCCCCCAGTTTTTATTTAGTGTAATCCTAACCCCACCGCACATACAGAGCAAGAGAGTTACTGTTCTTCCTATGTAAGGTACTTATTAGTCTTCTATAAATGAGGCATTTTAAATCCCAGAGCCTAATTTAGGCCACTCTCTAAGCAGTTAGTACTCCGGAATCAAAGACTGCCGAGACATGTACACATACAACACAATCCTACCACAACATGAGTTAGAAGGTCGTGTTCTGTGACTTATGAGGCAAGAACTTTCTTAGAAGGGTTGAAGAATGCAACATGCATTTCAGACTTCTTACAAAATTTATAAGAAAAATTTCAAATGATATTTTATGACACACAAGTGACGATGTGTTTGAATCCATATAAATAGAATATGATGTACAGGGAAACTATTAAAAGGGTGAAAGTTACTGAAAAGTATGCACCCTCCAAGTCTATTTGAGTCCTTAGAACAGCTCAGCTAGTCTTCCATTAAGAAGACTATTGTTTTTCACATAAATTAAATAACAACACATAGACATATTAAAGCCCCAAGTCCCAGAAACACTCAGCTTTAAAAACCAAATGCCTTCCTTAGTATTGAAAGCCTGGTGTTCGGCATTCATATGGGAGTTAGCATGACAAACAAAGTCTGACTATGTTACCTGAATCCATGTCAAGTATATTCACAGCACTCACCTACATCTACACTTGCAAACTGTCACATGATCGATGTTAACAGAAAGAAAAGTTTGGCACATAGATCAATTTCTCAAAACCTCCCTGTAACTTAACACAACACTGTTGAGAACGATGATTTCAACACCAATGTTAACCTGATTGGCAGCTAAACAAGGTGCTTTTTCTTGCAGCTTCACATAGTGTCCTGTGCACCTTGCCTGGGATGGAGGCACGTAAGGTGCAGTGCGGTAGTGCAATCGCTTGAACGCCAGAGGGCAGGCTTTCCACACGTTTGGACTTGCCCGGTCCCTGCTTGTACAATTTCATTTCAGCTGGTTAACAACGCCATTTCCGGGGAAGCTGTACATCTATTTCCTTAGTGAAGAAGACATTCCGTCAGAACCTCAGAGTGTCGCGAGGATCCTTGAAAAGGAGATGATCAGTGTCAGCACAGTCTGCCCCACACCCCACACCAGGGCTTCCAGGGGAGCCATGTTCTTCCCGGCCACTCTGTAGATGCCTGCCACTGCTGCACCTGGGAGGGAAACAGAGCACAGGGTCACCAGGGCACCACCTGCCACATGGCTGCGGCAAAGGTCACCTTCAGTTTACCAAAGCAGAGAACTTCAACACATCCTCGCTTTTCTATGTGACTGGTTAAAAGTTACTACTTTTACTACACAACACATAATCACTGAATTCAAGAATGGCTTTTTCAACTCAGTTATAGTACACAGCTTATGCTCTCATCTCTTTTAATGTGAGAACTGTTTTAACAATTGCTACTCGTATTTTACTCCAGAATAAAAACTCTTATCCCCTTTCATATATATACATATATAGTATGTGTATGTACACACACGTACACACACACACACACACACACACACACACACACACACACACACACGAAAGGAAAGAATTAGGTGCTGCCCTGGAACTCTGTGCACTAATTCTAGCCAGTAGTCATGGCATGGAAAAGCCTATCAGTGTCTCACAATACAACTAATGGTATTGGAATAACTCAGTAGCCATCTGGAAGAAATAGATTGAAATTCCTACCTCATACCATTCCATCAGGCACACTAAAGAACAAAATGCTAAAAGTAAATAAAACCACAACTATAAACTATGAAACACAAGCGAACGGATTTAGTATCCTAGGAAAGAGGTGACCTTAAAACCATGGTGGTGGGGGAAGGGAGGAGAAAAGAAGAAAAAGTAAAGAAGGGGGGGGGGTAGTAGAAAAGAGAAAAGGAAAAGGACCAGGCATAGTGGCGCACACCTTTAATCACAGCTCTCACGAGGCAGAAGCAGATGGTTCTCAGTGAGTCCTAGGCCAGCCAGGGTTACACAGGTTACACAGTAAGATCCGTCCTCAAAAGTCAAACAAATGTGGTCTGGAGACCACAATGGCTCAATGGCTAAGAGCACTGGCTGCTTTTGCAAAGGACCTGGGTTTGATTCTTAGCACCCACACAGTGGCTCATGACTACCTGTAACTCCAAGGGACCCAACACCCTCTCCATGGGCATCAGGCACACAAGTTGTGCACATACATACACACACACACACACACACACACACACACACACACACACACACACACAATTTAAACGAAACAGCAGAAGCCCTTGATGCAGAGAGTGAGCTCTGCACTCCAGAGGCAGCATTGTCGTGCCTAGGAGCCTACGCTTCTGTCTTTCCCTTTCTGAACTTTCCTGACTCGCTTGCACCAGCCTCGATAAGAGCTGTGCATATTTTACTCTTTCTATTTTGTGCAGTAATTTGGATTGGGGGGTAAATATTCTTTAAAATTTTGGTGGGGTGACCTGAATACCACATTTAGGTCTGGAGATGGGGGAGGGGGCTCTTCAGCATTTCAAAGTTTTAAAAGTGTTTTTGTTCCATTAGTGCTTTCTATTTCTCCGAATGCTAATTGTGACGAATTTTAAGTTTTTAAATTCTTTATTCTTTACCACACTTTGGTTGTTTCCTCAGTCCTGGTCGGTATTTGACTGTCTTAACACTTAGCCTGTCCGCAGTCTATATCTCTCCAGAGCACCAAGTCTTTGTGAATCCTAACTAAACACAACTAGCCAAGCATCACAGTATTTCCTCAACCAATACAACTAAAGTATGACCAAAAAGCACATGCACACCAGTTGTAAGATGATGTTTGGGATTTAAGCAAAGCACACAGCCCTCCCACTGAGGAAAACAGTTTAATCTCTAATGAAAGGGTAGGTAAGTTCCGTAAGTGAACATGTCACATATCCTAACATTCCAAAGCTTCCCAAGAAAGTTCTAACAAAAACCACACTTGTGCTTTGGGGGGAATTTAGCAGACATACTGTAAAATTCACATGAAGAAACAGTTCATGAACAGCTAACTTTGAATTACCTAGGACACACAACACCATACCACCGCCATGACACACTACAAAACCAAAGGCCTAGGAAATGTGGCCTTGCCGAGAGATGGATCCCTGGGCCTTGAGAATACAGCAATTCAGAAGGCAGCACCCACAGACTGATCAGCAACTGGTGAGTTACTTCAGTGGGTGCTGGGGTGAATAGTGACTTACCATGTATGAGGGGGTCCCACCTAATGCTAAAAACAGAGGTAGACTTGGGCCAGGACTGAGTCCAGACACCTGTTTCTGTGAACAGTTTTCTCTGAATAGTGATGTCCATTCCTTTTCCCGCATCTCGGCTTTGTGCTGCAACAGCAGGCTGGAGTCACTGGGATCACTGCCTCCCGAGTCTAACATCTACCATCTGTCCCTTTAGGAAGACGTGTGCTGACTCCTGCTCTAGACGAGTTAAAGACATTACTATAGTAAGTAAAGATATAAAATAAAGAATATATATCAAAATGCCTTTTTTTTTTCCTGGTGTGAGACAGAAAAAAGCCCCAAATTATAAACCATAAGTGGGGAAAAAAAAACCCTGTAAACTGACTACATTGCTATTTAAACATTTCTACTCAATAAACTCACTGGACAAAGGGCACCGGTAAGAGCCTGGGAAAAGGTATTTGCAAAGCCCCATACCGGCCAGGCGAAGCCCTCAGCCTGAACATATGAGAAGCAGCTGTAATGGAGTCGGAAGGAAACAGGTGCATCCAAAGGAAAGCACAGAATTAGGCGATGTGTACGGGAAAAACTCAGTACTGCGGGTGAAGGAAGAGACGCTGAGACCCACCAGTATACAGGGAAATGCAAATTAAATCAATAAAAAGCTGTTACTCTACACCCTCAGATTGGCTTAAATGTTTATAAAAGATTAGCCAGCTAAAATTGGGCACTATATAGAAATAAATACATTTTTGTTTTCTTTTAAAAATTTTATTTGTAATGGGGCATGGTGGCGAATGTCTTTAATCCTAACCGTCCACAGACAGAGGCAGGCAAATCTTCAAGTTCCAAGACAGCCAGGGCTACAAAGAGAAACCCTGTCTCAAAACAAACAAACAAAAGATAAACCCTTTATGTATGTGGGGGCGGTGGGGGGGGGACACAGGACAGGCTGTGTGTGCCCACGTGTAGAGGTAGAGGAGGATGCTGGCGTCCTGGGTGCCCTCTACTGTCACTCTGCTTTATTCCCTTGAGACACTGAACCCCACTGAACCGGAAGCATACCACTTTGCAGCTAGGCTATCTAAGCAAGGGTCAGTGAGCCCCTAACCTCCAAAGCCCCCACCCCTCACCAGTGCCGGGGCTCCAGGCTTGCATGGCCGTACCCGGGGTTTTGCATGGGAGCTGGGGACCAACTCAGGCCCTCACATTTATGCAGCAAGTACTCACACCCACTGAGCCCCCTTCCCAACACCACCCCTGGTTTTGGTTTAAATCAAATCTGGCAGTATCAATATTAACCAGCATGAGAAAAACAAGCAAAAAGAAAACCCAACCACACATCACTTTTTCTTGGAAATAAAATCTAAGTAACAAATACAGTGGATATATGCCAACATTCATCCCATCAGTGTCTTACGGATAAGGATTTTCAGCAACTGTTGAGTGTACAGCTATGTATAAGCCACCAACAAGCTACATTAAGAAAAGACAGAGAGGGGCTGGAGAGATGGCTCAGTGGGCAAAAGCACTGGCAGCTGCCCCTCCAGAGGACCTGGGTTTGAGTGGTGGCACATGGCCATCTGTAAATCTAGTTCCGGGGGAGCTGACGTGCTCTTCCAGCCTCTGAGAACACTGCACACGTGTGCACACAGATACACATGTAGGCAAAGCACCCATACACATAAAATAAAAATTGAAAAGATTTTTAAAAAGATAAAAAAGGGAAGATACACAGCTAAATATTTTAGCTAGTTTCCTTAATTCATGGTTGCAAATAAAAAAAAAAACGGTAACAAAATATTTCTGTGTATTCTTGCTAACCTAAGAACCAAATTTTTACCTGGAATTTGTGGCAGACTTATATTTTCAAGGATTTTAAAATATTTCATTGCAGTTTTAAAAATCACTAGCTTGTTGGGTAGTGGTGGCACAAGCCTTTAACCCCAGCACTTGGAAGGCAGCAGCAGGTGGATCTCTGTGAGGCCAGCCTGGTCTACACAAGTGAGTTCCAAGACAAACAGGACTAACACAAAGAAACCCTGTCTCAAAAATCCAAACCAACCAACCAAACCGTTAACTTATTATTATATTCTCAATGGAACTGAAAGTGGTTATATGCATACACCCATATCAGACATAAATAGAAGTAGAATTAAATACCTCACACACCCTTCAAAATCTTACAGTGACATACACATGCACAGTGTTTACAACAGCTGAGCAAATCGCTCCCTTCTCTGCTTATGGTCGCAGTCTCAACAGTAGCCCACACTGGCTGCCCTTCCTGTCTCTTTAAATGTCAGTCACCACAGTGAACAGTACACAGCCGTCACTTAGCGCAGATCCTGACACAGTACTGTCTCCACTTGGGCTTCTTAATTCCTCTTCCTTCCCCTTTATTCTCCCTTTTGACTCTCCCCACTTCCTCCCTTCTTTTCCTCCTTCGCTCCATCCACTCAGTCGACAGTATTCACTCTTATTAGTGGTTTGATTAGTGGGTGTGGCAGTGAGAGCCTGCTCTCTGAGTTTTCTCTTGCTTCTTTTCATACACTCCATATACAGTTACAGGACAAAATGTCTAATTGAAGAGCTTACCCCTTATCAACCCCCTGTAAATTATCTATACACTCCACATACAGTTACAGGACAAAATGTCTAACTGAAGAGCTTACCCCTTACCAACCCCTGTAAAATATCTATACACTCCATATACAGTTA